AAAAAAAAAAAAAAAAAAAAAAAGTCTTGCAAGTGGCCATGGAATCCACTGAAGTGAATGCTTATTTAACTTTTTAGAGTTTTGTATAATTTGTATTTTGAATACTTTCTTTGAATATTTGTAAGGTATTCAAAACTATATATTAGCATCACAATCTAGTTTAGAATCGTTGTTCCAAAAACTTTATGGTTGAACAAAAAAAAAGACAATAAATTCAGTGTGGAGGGAGAGAGGAGGGTAAAAATATGATCATAGGCTGAATGTTGGACTTGGTGGTGACTTGAGTTTTTTGGGAGACCAAAATTCCAGGAAAAAGAGAATTTTCAGCTCAGAGTTTATAATTACATCTTAAACTGTTAATTTAGCCAATTTATCTTATCTCTTTCACCCGAGGCCAAGCCGATCAAATCGAGACGTTTTTGGGTTCAATCCCATTCTTTGCTCTCTTATACTCAATGGACGAGGTAGTAGTAGATCCAGACATGACTGTCAAAGCTATTGGACATCAATGGTATCGGACTTTGAGTATTCTGACTATAACAGTTCCGATGAACCGTTACTCACTTTTGACAGTTATACGATTCCAGAAGATAACGGGTACAATAGAGTGGTTCTACCAGCCATCTACGGGTACTTTCTTAGATGACGAAAGTACCTGACAAAACCAAACCTGTGACTATCAATATCAGTTAAAAAGAAGATGACATACGAGGATTTTTATCTTGATATCATGTTAAACTACATAGCTTCTATGTTATGGAAGATTGATTTGGGAAAGCAGAGACCAACATTTTCACTTGAAAATCACAATTTTCTTTCTACTGGAAACTTCATTGAATAAAGGTTTCAGGAACTATAGCTAGCTTGATCGCCAATGCTATGGGAGCTCAATCTTAGCTGAAATGGGCTCTACGTCAAGAAGTGGCCTTCCAAAATTCTGGAAATGTAGAAAACTTTTGAAGGTCTAAAGGTGCTGAGAAATGTCGATGTCTACCTCTATGGGTTGAGTCAGACTTGTTGGAAGGTATTCAAGATCTTACAGATATTTCAAAGCCAGAATATGGCTACAGGTCTGGAAGTGGCCTACGATCATATCGAAAGAAACCGACACTGGTGCATTCACTGGCAAAGAAAGTTTCAAAGCTGGAATGTTCAGATCAACAGAGAGTTTCCAAGCTGGTAATACGATTTGGCTGGGAATGATATTTTAAGTTAATAAGGATGATGTTTGATATTTCAAGGAAAAAACATGGAGACAGGTTTTGGATAACCATGTAAAAAAAACACAGGTTGATTCCTTGACCACCAATCTTGAATGAAAGATCGAACATAAGATTTGTGCCATTAATCAATTGCTGAAAGGGAATAATAAGTGCATACTTTAATTGTAAGACATTTATTGGCAAAGATAAGGGTTGGACAAACTTTTAGAGTTACGAGATCTGAGCTTCTGCTTCAGCGGGTGTTCTGGTTGTCATCTGATCCACTGCATGGACTGTGCTCTGTAGCTCCTCCCAAATAGCTTTGTACACCATCCTCTGCCTATTAACAGCCGTTTGTCCCTCAAAGGCAGAAGAAACAACATCAATGCTGCAAGCAAAATGAACTTTATTAGCAATCAATTCAACTTGACTAGTCCTTTGGATATGGCTTGTGACGTCAATTGTACTTCACCATAACGTGAATCCTACATGAATTCCCCCGACCAATATGCCCCCGATGAACTTTTTTGAGAAGAATGCACCACTAGTTGTTCAAGTAGGTAATTTAGAGATAAGATATTTGCTCAATTTCGTAGGGGATGAAGTTGGCCTTAGAGGCTCAGGAGTTTAAGAACGTAAGCATATCAAAAAGGGAAAAGAAAAAAAATCAAAATCAACATGGGGAGGTGGGAATCCAAACCTCTTTCCACTTGGCCGAGTATACTCAAGTTTGCAACAACGATCATTTACAAGAGGGAGAGTTTTCAAATAACCGAAGGAGAGGGGCCATATTTATGAAAAATGCAAAGTTTAAACTTGAAAAATCAGGGATTTGAAGAAAAGCGAACCCATAACCTGTGATTTGGCAAGAAACAAATGCTAAAAGAGTGTTTGAGTATAAACTTTATAAGAAGCCCAAACATGATTACGGAACAAGTGGAAGAAAAGATATATATATATATATATATATATATTTTTTTTTTTTTTTTTTTTTTTTT